GATCAGTGGTTGCAGGTGCGCTTCGCGATTCGTTTGGGAGGACTTGGAATTGGGACCGGACGTATTGAACAAAGCACGCATGTCGTGCAACTTGCTGATCTTGCGTATCTCACCTCTCAGCGGGCGACAAGGGAAGCTGCGCTCGGAATGTTGCCGGGAGAGCATGCGGCTTCTGGATCGTTTGAAAGCGCAGCCGTCCTTCACTTGGAGCCGTTCGTGGGTCTCCATAGTGGTATTATCAAAGATGTGACTGCTAGTTTGCCCTCACGCGATCTTTTGGCATTCTTGCATGAGAAGACGCAGGAGGTTCTGTTGTAACAATCGGATATCCTCAATCAGGCGCGTTTACACGCCTTTGCAGCTCCATGGGCAGATGGATGGTTGCGTGCGACCCAAGTATGGCGGCGGATTCTCTTCTTCAGAGTGAGGTAATGCGAAATGCCGTGCGTTTGCGGTTGGGTATGCCCATCCTTGATGGAGGTGGATGTGCGATGTGCATACATGCGTGCGATGATCGTGGACACCATTATCTAGCGTATATGATATCGGGATACAAGCAATTGATTGATATGCAGAATTGGCAGGTGCCCGACCTAATTTGGAATCAATTGGATTATTACCATCTGATCCACATCTTCGTCCCGCAGATATCTTGATCATGACGATCCCTTCTATCGTCGCGTCTTCTTGGCGTCAATTCCCACGATTAATATTCGATTTTGTTATTGTATCTCCATTCCTTGCTACGAACATGACTACTTCAGCGAGTGTGGAGCTTTCAGCGGCAAATTCGTATGCTAAGCGTAAGTTCGATTTGAAGGATTGTGGGAAATGGTGCGAAGCCATGAATGTGGGGTATGAGCCGATCATTTTTTGAAATTATAGGGGCTTGGCCTTGGAAGGACAACATCACTTGCAGATGATTTGTGAGGCGATCGATACGAAATAGGGATTATAGAAGGGTCGTACCCAACGCACATTGCATATTCGTATCTCGATTGATTTGCAAAGAGGATTGCATCTCACGTTTCAGAAGCAACGCCGGGCGTGTATGCAGACTTGTGGTGGTAGTCCGGCGTGCGAGATTCATGATAGGACCTATGGGTCGTAAATACGATGGCTTGTTATCAGGATGATCCCTTTTACGCAGGATTATCGCCTATTGAGTGCGCCTGATCCCTTTTATATAGGATTATTGCCTATTGAATGAGCCAAGATTTGATTGAGTTGGCTGAATCTATGGCCATTTGTTGGGGTCTCGGTTTGCTTGTGATCCTGACGCGAGTCTCCAAGTTCTTTTCTAATTCGGGGTGGTGGTGGGCGTTTGAATGCATGGAAGAGAATTTGAGGACTCGTATGGATGGTATTTTGTAGTCGTCCGAGACGCTTAATTCTTTTGGGATGGGGTCGAACATCAAGTCTCTCTCCGTCCATTACGAGGCTACAACAATCTCTCTTCATTATTTTCGTCTCTATGGAGGATTCATTCTTAATTGGTGTTTTTGGGAGCATACGTCTCTTACGCCATCAATTAGTTTTATTTGCCATGAATCCCCTAATAATGTGCATCATCATCGATCCGGGAGTTATCCATACCATTTGGAGATTCGGATTGCAATAAATAAATCGTGGAGCATAGGAAAAATCCAAGAATGAAAGTCCGACCCGATATCCGAATTATATCAAATCTTGATTTTCTAGATAGAATCTTCTTTGTTCTTTCGGAAAACCTAAATTTGCACATATCAGAAAGCCAACGATATGAAAGAGATTCATTATACCATATATATATAAATCATATGAAGAATTTATCTTCTCAAAAATACGAATTAAATATCGAAATGAAGATTTATGAGAGATTTCTATCCCCATAAAAATATATTTGCATCGTATTATCAGATATATTCCATCAAATCCTATCTAATAATATCCTCGACCGATCAAATAAATCATCCATTAATCATTAATCCAATTCGTATTCCAGCCTCGGGGTTCTAGTTGGTGCAAATCATATCGATCTTATTTCTTTTATTATTCCTAATCGATAGAAAAAATGAAATATGTCGAATTCATATATCTTATTTTCAGAATTAATTTCATTAATAATGCATTTATAAATTAGCGATAGAAATACAATATTAAAGAATACTAGAGAAGCTTGAATAGATCTGAAAAACGTGAAAGGATGGACTAATAATACAATAATATCATATTTTGGTCGAGAAGTAAAAATAAACGAATCTAAATCTAAATTGATAGAAATTATAAAATTTCCCGCTAGATAATATTAAGAATATAAATAGAATAATCGAGACATTCTAAAATCGTCCAAGCGGACCAAACAAATACTACCATGGCAATCCAAAATCGACCAAACAAATAATACCGTTTGATCGATTTTCAACCCAAAACCACCCAAGCGGACCAAACAAACAACACCATAATAACAACCAAAACTGACCAAACAAACAACACCATAACAACCCAAAACCACCAAAGCGGACCAAGCAGACAACACCATCATAACCCAAAGCCGACCAAGCAGACAACACCGTGACAACCCAAAACCACCCAAGCGGACATCACCATGACAACGAATATCCGACCAAACAAACAATACCGTAACAACCCAAAACAAACAGACAACACCATGACGGCCCAAAACCGACTAAGCAGACAATACCACGACAACCCAAAATCGCCCATACAGACTAAGCGGACAACACCATGACAACCCAAAATCGCCCAAGCCGACAACACCGTGACAACCCAAGCGGACCAAGCAAACAACACTATGACAACCCAAAACCGACCAAACAGACAACACCATGACAACCCAAAACCACCCAAACGGACCAAACGGACAACACTATGACCACCCAAAACCGACCAAGCGGACAATACCGTAACAACCCACACTATGACAACCCAAAGCCGACCAAGCAGACAACACCATGACAACCCAAAATCGCCCAAGCGGACAACACCGTGACAACCCAAAACCGACCAAACAGACAACACCATGAGAACCCAAAACCACCCAAGCGGACAATACCATGACAACCCAAAACCGACCAAGCGGACAGCACCGAGACAGCCCAAAACCGCCCAAGCGGGCAACGCCATGACAACCCAAAATCGCCCAAGCGGACCAAGCGGACAACACCGTGACAACCCAAAACCGACCAAACAGACAACACCATGAGAACACAAAACCGCCCAAGCGGACAATACCATGACAACCCAAAACCGACCAAGCGGACAACTTCGTGACAACCCAAAACCACCCAAGTGGACAACACCATGACAGCCCAAAATCGACGAAGCGGACAACACTATGACAACCCAAAACCGCCCAAGCGGACAACACCGTGACAACCCAAAACCGACCAAACAGACAAGACCGTGACAACCCAAACCCACCCAAGCGGACCAAGCGGACAACATCGTGACAACCCAAAACCAACCAAGCGGACAACACCGTGACAGCCCAAAACCACCCAAGCGGATCAGGCGAACAAATTGTGATAGCCCAAAACCGACCAAACAAACAATACCGTGACAACCCGAAACCGCCTAAGCAGACCAAGCGGACAACATCGTGACAACCCAAAACCGACCAAGCGGACAGCACGGTGACAACCCAAAACCGCCCAAGCAGACAACACCGTGACAGCCCAAAACCGACCAAGCGGACAACACCATGACAACCCAAAACCACCCAAGCGGACCAAACAGACAATACCACAACAACCCAAAACCGACCAAACAGACAACACCATGACAACCCAAAACCACCAAAGCAGACCAAGCGGACAACACCATAACAACCCAAAACCAACCAAACAGACAACACCGTGACAGCGCCCAAGCGGACAACACCGTGACAACGAACATCCGACCAAACAGACAACACCGTGACAACCCAAAAGAAACGGACAACACCATGACGGCCCAAAACCGACCAAGCGGACAGCACTGTGACAACCCAAAACCGCCCAAACGCGCAACACCGCGACAGCCCAACACCGCCCAAGCGGACCAAGCGGACAACACCGTGACAGCCCAAAACCGCCCAAGCGGACAACACCGTGACAGCCCAAAACCACCCAAACGGACAAGCGGACAACGCCGTGACAGCCCAAGGAAAGCCCAAACCTCAATCCGGACAATTCCTAAAATTCCGGGAATTTTCAGCTCCGGGGAATTCCCAAAATTCCCAGGATTTTTAGACAATAAGCGTTAAAATTCCCGGAATTTTCAGGATCCCCCTGCAAGGCCCTCACAAGCAGCCAAATGGACCGGAAGAGGAGGCAGGGCATCCGACAGGGCGGCCGCAGAGCGAAAATAGGGGTCGAGCCCGTAGCCTTTTATGGGGATATTATCTTAGTGAGAAAAAATCCGACAATATACCGAATTTATATGAAATATAAGAATCTATGTATCCATAAAGAATTATTTCAGATTTATTTGAATAATCGGATCTTTCCATTCTCCATCGCCAAAATGAAAATCTTCTAGAATATTCAGCAGTTGTAATAAATTCTAAGACCAAATCAAATATTCCCATACTTCAATTAACTTCATCCATTTTATCTCAGAAGTATATATATCATCCGTAAGGTTATGATTCTCAAAGCGAAGTGGGCGTAGATGATTCCTTTCTGGGATCCTTGATGTAATAATATATTCCCTTGATTTTAAGATAACATCCCTCTCCTGACCCCCCGCACCCTCGACCTTCTAAACACCGTTGGCGTCCCTTCTCCGCTCCCTGAAGCCCTCATCCCTAAACCGTACAGCTGGAGCACTCTCCGCAGCAGAAGCTCCGAGGGTGTTTGGGGCATGAGGTGTGCGGCTTTAGGTTCTGGGGTCCAGATTTAGGTGCTGTGTGTTGAGGGGTTTAGGTTTGGCGTATGGGCTTTGGGTTTTGTTGATCAAGAGGTTCGAGCTTGAGGTTTAGGGTTTATCTTGGTGCTCTGGCGAGCTTTTGGTAGAACTCAAGTGACTCTGCTGGTCGCCTGTGCGCCAATCGCCTTGGGCGATGAGCCGCCGAGTTGGCTCACCTCTTTCTCCACGTACGGATAGCCCTTCCGTTGAAGCCAAGCTACCTCCGCCTTTTGCGAGTTGCCTAAGCCTTCCGACTCCTCCAGAAACTGCCGGTCTTCCTCGGGAAGCCAAGCCAAGAAAAGACGGTGTTCCTCCCGGGAAAAGGGCGAAGAGGAATCTGGACCTTCCTGCTTCGATAGACGCTTGAGGCCAGCATCCAGGGCATTCCGGAAAGCCTCGGACTTCTTGAAGTCAGCTTTTTTCCTGGAGATCTGTTCGCGGCGCAGATGTTCAACTCCGGCTGTGGTGAAATCCTTGACTTTGCCTAAACCTTTCTTCCCATCGAAGTAATATACATCAAGGGTGGCGTTTTGTTTAACTGCTACCTCGATGTTGGCGATCCACTTGGACCACCACCTACACCCCCATGGCTTTTTCCCGCCATAAAGGGGCGTGCACCAGCAGTTGCCTTGTAAGTCCTGAAATTCCTCATTCGGAGGAATGGGGTCATGCAACCCGAAGTGCTGGGAGCCTTTGGGCAGAAACACTACAGCGGCACTGATGTCATTTTGGCGGGCGCCGGCCACGAGCTCATCCCATGCGGATGCATACTTCCCTGGCCATGAACAAACAGTCTCCCGGCCTGGGAGCACGTTCCCCTCGAACACAATGGTGTGTTCGTGGGTGGTATGGACAGCTGCGTCCAGCGACTTTTTTGGGGGCTGAAGGAAGAGCTGTGCAAGAGTCACACCGCGTTGCTCTAGGAGCAGATTTGGCCACTGGTGGGGAACCAGGAGAGCACCGAGCCCAAAAGTTTGCACTGTCTTTCTCCAGCCCTTGGGCTTTTCCGTGATGCAAGCGACGATGCCACCGGTGCACATCGTCAGAGACACCCCGCCCAACAGCACGACGATGGTCCAGCTGTGCCCCTTCTGGTCACTGGCCATGATCATGGCGGTGACGCCGCCGACACCGGCGCCGAGAACGCACCAGAGGCAGCCGAGCAGCGTCAGACCTCTCCAATCGCCCTCGGAGGCCTCGACCGCGTCGGCCGCGTAGCCCCGCAGCTCCGGCCGCGCCGCCCGGACTCCTGCCCCCAGCTTCACAGTATCGCGGCTATCATCGCCACTGGCACTTGAGAGTGCACCGAGTCCGCCGCAGGCACAGCACCACAACGCCAGCAGCGCCGCGGCGAGGCCAACGCCTTGCAGCTGGTTCTCCAGGTAGAAGGCTGCAACGGCGCAGGAGACCATGACACCCAGGATGACGGAAATGAAGATCGAGATGCTGATGATGGCACACTTTTGTCTCCAAAGAGCCACCCTGTTCACCTCTGCAAACAACTGGACATCGATGTCTCGCTTCCGTTTCTTCTGCAAACGACTCTCCTCTGCCGCTGCGGCTTCTTCGTGCTGTATGTATGTTGCAGCTCTTGAACCAAACTCTCCAAATCCATTGGACATGAATTTGGCGCCACTCGTTGCCTTGCAGCTGCCGCAGACTCCAGCGTCATCTCGCAAGCGCACCAGAATGTCATTGTCTCCAGACACATCCAGACCTGACTTGGGGTAGAGGGGCTGCCAGCCCCTCCCTTGCCCCAAGTCAACTTCAACTCCCACTGTAAGATCATTTAAGATTGTGCAAGTCTCTGGCTCGTCGGCTGCGCTGCTTGTCTTTCTAAATCGCTCTCCTCTGGATCGCTGCCCCTGACAGCTCGTGCTGCCTCCCTGGAATTCTCCTCCTCTCGGATCTCACCAGGAAAGCTCTCAAGAGGACTCAGGGATACCATGGCATTCACATGCTCAAAGACTCCACCATTGCTTGGCCTATTTTTTCGATCGGAGGTGGGTGCACCAATGAAGATCAGGTGTGTTGCTTTTGTTTGCTTAGATATGCTCCCTTATGTACTGGTATAGATCTTTCTAGCTGAAACAGTTCTCCATGAAGTACTGCCTGTCAAGTACCTCATATGATGTCAAGCGGCAGCCTCTTGCGGGCAAGCCTTATCTCCTTCCACACTTTGGGTTCTGGCCAGAGGCAATAGGATGTGCAGCTTTTGGATTGCTAAAGAAGCCCCACCCCCCCCCCCCTTCCCAAAGAAAAAAAGAGAGACTAATCAGCGTAACAGAACAGAAGGCCCCCACCTGACCCTACACTGCCTGAACCCTAAACTGCGTCTTTTTCAAGGGCATCCTCACTTCTCATGAGCCGCAGGTTCTAGAAATTAGAGTTTAGGGTTTGCAGGAGCAGAGGTTAGGGTTTCAGCTTTAAGCTTTGCAGGCTCAGGGGGCCTATGCCGTACGTGGAAGCCTGGAAAAATCACGTTTTCTTGGGAATGTCCAAAAACGAAATGCATTTTCAAGATCCCCTGCAGGGTGTACCTGAAGCATTTGGGATTTGGGGGCAGGTGGAACTCTTCATGGCAGCATCTGCAAGCGGCAGACTCCCAAATGTTTGGTTGGGTATCTTCTGGTGCCCTACAAGGGGATCCTATGATTTGACGATGATATGCGGAGCTGCTTGCTTATTCTCAGAAACAGCCATAAATAAGTCTTGCTGATCAAGAGACGTGAAGAGAGGCCGGCTCATGGTTGATTCGCGCTCGCTGGACTTAGGGTTTAGGGCTTAGGGTTTTAGGGTTTAGGTTTAGGGTTGAGGGTTTAGGGTTGTAGGGTTTAGGGTTTAGGGTTCTTGGGGGCGTGGATTAGCAGTGGCCGCCATCCCCGATTGTGAGTGGATGCAGCAGTTCAGGGTTTGGGGATGCATGGGGTCTATAGGTTGTGTGACCCCCTGTGCAAGCCCTAGTCAGAGGCATATACACCCTAAACCCTTTAAACTACGGTGCAGGCTTGTGTGTAGGAAGGAGGTTTGTGTGTAGGGCATGCAGGGTTTCGTTGCCTTAGGATGTGGGGTTTTGGGGTTTCCTCTGGCACAGATGAAAGGAAACCCTAAAACCCGATAAACCCTAAACCCAAAATCGAGTGTGCCCAAGCCTTTCCCTTCCCTTTCCGGCTGCGCTGCCGCTTCTTTGCGCGTGGACAGACTCTGGAATCGAAGCTGTAGGGCAGGCCTAAGGCCACATCGTTTAGGGGCTGCAGGGGTCCGATCTCAGAGAGTTTGGTAGAAGGCCTTGGGAGTTACCTCTTGCCCTAAGGGTCCAAGTACCCAACTATGAGGGTTTTAGGTACACAAAACCATCAAAAGTAGGGCACCTGGACCCTAAAACCCTAATATTTAGGTACTTGGACCCTCAGGGTCGCAAAAGATCTCCGTACAACTGGGCCAGGAAACCCTCTTCGAAGACCGCGGCACTCTGGTGAACTTCCAAGGCCCTCCTTCGTCCAGTTCTAGCAGCTTCTGAAGCGCCATGTTGGCCATCTCCTTGTAGATGGTTCCATGAGGCACTGTGCACAACTCGCCTCCATTCTGGTCCTGATACCACGTCTGCTGCCCGTGACTGAAGAAGGCAACGCCGGGAAACTCCTGAGAGTGTCAGACCGAGAGCGTGAAAAATGACGTCTATATCCCGACTACAAAACCCAGCAAATCCAACAATCACGCAAAGAGCAGGAAGCCTTCCAGGTGAGGTTGCTGAGCCGCAGGTTCCCATGCCCTTCCAGTCCAAGGAAGACATTGTGGAGAATCTTCGGCAGAGAAAGAGAAGCAGCTTCAGACTCTGACTTCACTGTGGCTAAAGGCTCCGTCCAGTTCATGTGCCGCAGCGCAAACCATCCTGCCTCTGCGCCATCACCGGCTTCCAAGAGCACGTTGCCAGCGGACACGTTGGCACAAATAGCTCCGCTGTCATACACCCATGGCCATAGGCGCGTTGGCCTCAAGGGCAGCCAATAACTTGCCAGAAGCATAGCTGCCCCACACCCGGCCACCGGTGTGGACGGAAGCATCTCAAGAAGTGGCCTCTGCCTCCCTCTGGGCAAGGTGAAAAGCCAGCCATCTTTCAGCACAGGCCTGCATATATCCCACCTATGGCGCAGTCTGTACTTGCATGGTTGCCACCTCATGCTGCGATGCCATGGCACCTCAACGACTCAAGGATTGTAACGAATGGCCTCCCCTGCTGCGCAAGTGGGGACACGTTGGGCATAGTCCTGCTGTCATACGCCCATTCATGGCCATAGGCGCGTTGGCCGCAACGGCAGCCTTTGAACTTCCGAGGCCACATTCAGATGTCGTTCGCCTCCGCCTTCGTCAGCACCCATGGCGATGCAGGCTCTAGAGATTCCTGGCTCGTACTTCAGGCTTCCGCTTCGTGGGTATTAGGGGAGGGTTTTAGGGTAGTCGGGAATGGATTTACTGTTGAGGGGACTCTATAACAATCACTAGCCTCTTATACTTCTTTGGTGCCCCCAAGAGCAAGCCAAGCCTAAACACCAAATTCAACCCCTGCTCAAGATCGATCAAGTTTCCGATCCTTCCTTCGAGCGACACGCCTCTCAAGCAGGAGGGCTGCCAACTCCTGGCAAGTGTGGAATTCCGCACTAGGCCTCTCTATCGAGCGCCCCTGTGCATGCTCAGGGTTGTGGGTTGAGACACTGGGCTCAGCAGAAAGCACGGGGTGCCAGGTCTACCAGAATCTGCACTTGCTGCCTGATTCCTTTCTACAACACCAGATCGGGCACCTCAAACCCAGCTTTGCGCGCCAGGGCCACTGCATCCTGTCCCCTGGCGCAGAAGAGCAACCCTAAACCCTAAACCTTAAACACTAAACCCTAAACCCTAAACCACGCGGGGGTTCGGGGCTGAGGAAAACATCACAAAGCCACTAAGCTGCAAAACCCCTCAGCTGCAAAGGGAGATTTGCGGCGTCCGGGCTACGAGTAGCATACCTATATCTTACTACTGCGTCTGACTGGCTGAAGAAGTTATTTGTTTACTTCGAATGGAACTCAACGGGAAGTGCAGAAAACATCTGGGATTGGGGACTCGGGGATACGGTGTGTGGATGTCTGGGGGTGGACACTTCAGGGATTCTCTGCTTCATTCTCTAGGGTAGGCACTCCAGGGACACTCTGCAGGGGTAGGATACTTGGGCCAGGACGTCTCTCGGCAGACTAGCTGAATGCAACTTCAACAGCCCCAGACCGGGTGGGAACAAATTTCATTTGTCTGAGTGAATATATCGTTATGCCAACAGCTGCCTAGCTGTCTGCTGGAGCCACGTGCCCGCCCCGCCGAAAGCCATGATCCCCGCGCCGCCCTCCGATGAACAATATTTATCCGGTAAGCCCCTGTTGAGGCAAGTTTCCTGGTCTTTGGGCCCACATATTCACCCTTATTGATTTTGGGGCCTCACTCTTGCTGCAAGCGAACGACCCAAACACCCGACCCTAACCAGCCAAACTTGGACCTAAACTTCATGAAAATGCTTCCAAAGAAACATGTTTCCAGGGTTCCATGAAGGGGTCCTGGCATCCTCGAGGACAGCGTCCGGATCCAGCTGGACTTCGTCCTGACAGGGAAATGAAGGGTTGCAGCCTTCTTTGGGTTTTTGAGAACGTAAAGACTTAACTCCTAGAAGAGGTTTTCCTAATTTCTAGGGCAACACATGGGTGGGATGTTAGTTAGCTCTTCAGGCTTAGAGCTTCGGGCTTAATTAGGGTTATTAGGGTTCGGGTTTACTGTTGGGTTTAAGGCTTGAGTCAGACTTGGCTCCTGCAGCCACAGGCAAAGCTCAACGTGCCCCCCATAAGCGGCCTTGTGCAAGGCATTGTGTCCTGACGGCCCAGTAACCATATTCTATTTGGGTTGTTTCCTTTATGAGGGAACCTTGAGCCAAAAAAATGGGAAAAGGGTACCACTGGGTACCAAGATGAAGTTTTGGATGTCGGGTGGGCTTTGCTTGTGGTTGGGCGCAATTGGGTGTGGAGATTCGGGGCTCTGCCTTTGCCATTGCCCGGATCTCACAATCAACCTCAAACGGGGTACTGGCCCTTCATGGTCTAGTTTCGCAGCGCCAGCGAAACTTTGAGCCACACAAATCCCAAAAGATCCTAAGCCTCTAAACCCGAAACGTGAACCCCTAACCCTAAACCCTAAACCCCAAACCCTAAACCCTAAACTCAAAACCCTAACCTCATTTGGCATTCTTTCAGCAACCCTAGGGGAGGCCTTGGTTGTTTGTCGCAGACAGGTCCACACCTACACTGCGGAGCCAGGCGCAGGTCGATGTCATGCCTGTCGCACGCTTTAGGTTTTCTAGGGTACGGGATTGAGGGTGTTGGGTTGTTCTTATAGTTTAGGCTAGTCTAGGGCATAGAAAGTCGGGGTTTGGGTTCAGGGCATAGGGTGAGGCTGGCCATTTGCACCCTCCGAAAAAATCCTTAACATGATCCTCTCTCACTCCGCAGATATGACGTAGCCCGTAAGTAGAATAGTAGGACTTAGGGTTTAGGGCTCAAGGCTCTAGACCCCAGACCTACAACCTAGACCCCACAACCCTAAACCCCATAGGGGCTCAGGGCTTTAGGGCTTTAAGGGCACCCTTTACGGGCTTCAAGGGCTTTAAGGGCTTTAAGGGCTTCAAGAGCTTTGAGGGCTGCAAGGCTTCACTTGTTGTTTAAGGCTACGGGCTCGGGATTTAGGGTTTAGAGTTTAGGATTTAAGGTTTAGGAAAACAATCCTGGACAGCTTTGCAGACGGAAAACAAAAAAAACATCTTACTGGCCCTGAACGCCAAACCCCCAAGAAACCTGGACCCCAAACCCCCTTTCAACCTGAAGCGCCCCTACCTTCTAAACACCCCTAAACACCCTAAGGCGCCCTCAACGCCCTCGAGCTCTGACTTGGTAGCCCAGTAATCATACTTTCATAAGACATTAAGGGTTACCTTTTTTGGGCTGGCTACCTTATAACTTATAAGGAACCTTGAACCCCTAAACCCTAAACCCTAAACCCTAAACCCTAAACCCTAAACCCTAAACCCTAAACCCTAAACCCTAAACCCTAAACCCTAAACCCTAAACAAGCTGAGCTCGGAGCTCGGCCTGCCAGTGCGGAAAAATGATGCGCGAGGCAGAACCAGGAGTTCCGGTGCTCCAGGGACGCCTGGGAGCGTTTAGGGTTTAGGGTTTAGGGTTTAGGGTTTAGGGTTTCGGGTTTCGGGTTTCGGGTTTCGGGTTTCGGGTTTAGGGTTTAGGGTTTAGGGTTTAGGGTTTAGGGTTTAGGGTTTAGGGTTTAGGGTTTAGGGTTTAGGGTTTAGGGTTTAGACCGCTTTGGGCCATAAGGGGGTTTAAGCTTGGGGTGACACAGAGGGCTTCTGTTTTTCAGGGTTTAGGGCTTAGGGTGACAAGGTAGGATGAGGGTTTCAGGTACCTGGGGTTGCAGGCCGATAGAGCACATCGCGGTTTGGGGTTTTGTGCTGAGAGTTCGGGACCAACACAACTGCAAACTCCTGGTTTGATCCAGGCGGCCCCCCTCTTCCGCAGCCAGGCACACACCTCTTCTGGGGCACCCAAACCGGCAAGTTCCAAGTGACACTTTCTGTTTCTTCTGGCTTAAGGCCTTGCAGTTCTCGGGTTCAATGGCATATTTGGTTTAAGGATGTTCAGGATTAGGGGAGGTGTTCAGGCTTCGGCGAGGATCTGGGGTGTAGGCCACTTCGGTAACGCATGGATGTTGGCATGAATCTCCTCGGTGGTTCGAAGTTAACTAGCATGCAAAATTGCACAGAGAGACTCAAACCTCAAGAAAAGAAAACCCTAAATCCTAAATCCTAACCCAAAACCCAAAACCCTACACCAACTCAACAACCAATGTCGCAACCCCAGATCGCCCATACGGCGCTGCTAGCCGCTGAATCCCACAAGCCCTGACCCCTTAACCGGAAAACTTACGGATCCAAGTCCGATGCCTAGGTAGCACCTTCTGCGACCTGAAGGCTACGTGAGACCTGGGGGGGGGGGAAACGGATGAACCTGACCCATGGACTCCAATCTGAAGTCGTAACACGCTGAAGTTGCAGAGCTCTATAGCCCAGTCTAAAGCCGAAAGACGCAAACCCTGAACCCGAAACCAGAAACCCAAAACCGTTGACCCGAGCCGCCCCTGCCCCCAGGTGCTTCCCAAACTTTTGGGTTTCGGGCTTGGAGGTGTACTTGAATCTCAGTGAGATTAGGATCTCGTCAGGGCCTCCTTAGGGCCTTAGGGCTCATGATTTGGGTTTTAGGGTGGAGCTTTTGGGCCCCAAACCCTACACCCTACAACCGCTCCTCGACGTGCCCACCCCATGCAGCCAGCTGCAGCGGGGTGGTGTCGTCCTCTGGCGAAGGGAACCCTGAACCTCAAACCTGGACCCTTTTGAGCCCTGAAACCCTGACCCAGAACCCAAAGCCCCTTTTGAACCCTGCCGCAAGAAGCCGGAACTAAATCCTAAGCCCAACATCCTTGAGCCTCAAAGCCCGAGTTAAACCCCCCTAAACCCCAAACCCCAAACCCCAAAAACCCTAAACCCTATATCCCAAAACCAGCAACCTCAACAGCCTTCTCCTGCCCACATCCCAGCGACCCACGAGATCGCAACGTCCTTCGTCGGGGTGTCCACATTGATCGCATGCTCCTCGACGAGCCTTTGGACCCCTACTATAGGGGCCTTAGTAGTTTTATTGTCGTCTCATTACAAAGGGACATAAGGAATATTATTTGTTATCATTCCGACCCCTACAGTACTGGCAGGACCCCTGGGAGGATCCAAAAAGTAGATCCCCTAACGGATTCCCTTGAGTCTGGGTGATTTACTCTCGGACCCGAAGTAAAGGGGTTACAGAGGGAGGAGGGGGGTCTTGGGTGTTGTCACAAAGCCGCAGTGGCGGCGTGGCTTTTTGGAACCGGGGGGGGGGGGGGGGGGGGGGGGGGGGGGGGGGGGCGGGTCTCCCAGCGTCTCAATGTTAGGCTTCGAGAGGCAGAAGAGTTTCGTTTCAAAATATCAAATTAAAAGCCAACAAAGCTAAACAATCCAAGAGCCCTAACCTGCCGCTCTCTGCGACGCTGTCCCTATGCCACATGC